AAGGAAGGAAGGAAGGAAGGAAGGAAAAGGAAGGAAGGAAAGAGAAAGACAAAGCGTCTGCAGTGCAAACCTGGCCCTGCTGCAAAGCTCGTGGGTCGCGTGTGACTCTGAGGCCCTACTTTGGCGACGCGGCTGCTGGAGGCGGAAAGGCTGCTGGCCTCTCAGGACAGGTGTGCGGGCGTGGGGAAGGGTGCCTCTGGGCACAGCCGCTCTCTTTAGCTACCACCTCCTGCCGTCACCTTGGGGTTTACTCTGAAACGGGGTGTGTCCCCGATCAAGTCGATAATGACAGTAGTCTAGTTGCTGTCCGTCTGCTGTCGTCACTGCTGTTTTCATTATTATTAGCAGGGGCATTTGAGTTGGGACCATGGCGTGACCCTCTGTCCCGGTTCGCCCAGGGTCGGGGTCCGGGGCTAAGGCCGGCACGGCCCCGGTGTGCAGACTCAGGAACGGTCCTTTCCTTGTCATGGGGGGACAAAGGGTCACTGGAATTCTCTCTGCGGCGGATGGAGACCTCATCCTGTGTTTGAGGAGGAATCGCGTCTGAGCTGATTAACGAGTAAGGTCTTTCTTTCTTCGGTTGCGGGACAGGAAAAACCCGGACAGGGTAGAAGAAGAGGTCCGGAGCACGGCTTTCTGACGAGACAACAGACGGCAAGATGAGCAGGCTCTTGCTTTACGAGGCAGCGACAGCCTGGGCAAGAGAGTCTTTGGCTCTCTCGAGCCCCCGGCGAGCTGCCGGAAGCCCGCGGCACGATCCGTGAGCAGGAGGGACCGCGTACTTACTGCCACTGCTACTATGATCCTGCGGTGGCACCGAGGGCGTCACTTACTGAGGACTCAGCACGCGCCCCTGTCTGCGCAGCGATGCCCAGCACCCTGCAGCCACCGCCCCGCGCGCTGTGCGAGCTGGACTGCCTCTCCCTACCGCCCTGGGTGGCCGCCTTACTCTCCCCACCGACGGGAAAGAAGTTCGCGATGGTTAAGGGACTGCACGGGCTACGGGTGTCAGAGGCAGCGGGCCGCCCTCTCGGCGCCCACCCTGCAGTGAGCGGAAGGAGGCACGCGGTGGAGCCCTCAAAAACTCCGGCACCGCTTTTAATGGCAGCTGAAACCAGCAAGCAACCTGTTTAGTCAAAACTTAGAGATGCAATTCCTAACGATTCTCCAGCACACGGCTCATCTTGCTCTGGCGCGTTCTTCGCACAGCTCAAAGCAGGGCGGGAACGCCTGTGGGGTCCCTGACTCGCCGGCGGCCACACCCGCCGTTCACCCGGGGCCACGGATCCCACCGGGGCCGCGTGTGAAGCCGGGCACGGTCCTCTGAGCCCGACAGACACGACTCTGGGGGCACCAAGCACCCCCCACCACTTTCACCTCTTCTTATTGGACCCCCAGCGTCCGCGGTGGAGGCCAGCACAGACAGCCTGACTGTCACGGCCCTGCCCCACCCGTGTCAGCGGGGAAGCCGCCTGGGGAGAGGACAGTCTGAGCTGAGGCGGCCGAGGCGCCACCCCTTACACAGAGGAGGCCGGCGTAGGGGGCGTGGAGAACCGAGTCTCACAGGGTCCCTGCGTCTGCAGCCAGACGATGCCAGGCAGGAACGTCACCTGCGCTCGCTGCCTTCCTCTGACACGGGCGGGGCCGCCGTCCCCCGAGCAGGCGACTGCCGTGAGGACGTGGCCTCAGAGACCGGACCCGAGGGAGAGGGGACGGAGAGGGTTCCCAACCTGGCTCACACAGCTGGCCTGACTCAGGGTGCTGACGGCTCTCATGTAGCTCTGGTTCCGGGAGCGGAATTTCGGGGAGTTGTACTTGGCAGAGGGGTCCAGGCTGTGGGCAGCAGACACGTCCCTTGCGGCTTGCAGGTAGCTCTGGCTAAAAGAGAAAAAGAAATGAAGAGAAAGGCGTTCCGTGAGCATGCACCGAAGGGGGAGAGCAGGTGAGGGGCGTTCCAGCCACCGCCGAGCGGCTGTTAGAAAATTTCCAGCCACGTGTTTGTCTTTTCACGGACAGCTTGGTCTTAGGCGAATACCCGCAGGTTCAGCTACAGAAGTAATGGCGGGGAGGGGGTGGTGCTATTTACAAAGCTTCTTGGAAAGCTGGCTTTTTATGGCCAGGTAGGGAAGTCCGGATCGTTCCACACAAACGAAACAGGGCGCTGGAAAGCACTGGAACCGTTCACACAGCACAACAGCGGACCTGGCTCCTGAATTTAAGCCCAAACCCCGAGAGTCTCATAAAAATCATGTTAGCTTCTGGCAACTTTACGCATTCGGAAAAATAAAGTTAAAAAAGAGGCCAGCCTTCCGTTTTCGCTTGTGCAACGTCGTCCAGACTCTGGGATGGAAGGACAGAAAGAGGAGACTAAGAAGTCAACTGCGTCTCATTATCCTAACGGTCATCTTCCTCCAAATGCTCCTAAAAATCAATGTTCTCTGATCCCCTTTCTTGCTATTTTCTAAAATGTTAAAAGTATGGGAAGACCGTCAGGGCGTCTGGCAGATGGAAAGGTCGGCTTAGCTTAAACTCCTGGCCAATTGAATTCCCTTTCTTTCAAGTTCTGTTGACAATCTTTCCATAATAAAAACTCAATTTATCTGAGCAAACACTGGAGTAGTAAGAAGGGAATTAGCCGTTCTTCTTTGCTGTGCTGGGTCACACCGGGACACTCGACAGGGCCAGCACACCTGTCTGCATGTAAACATGTACCCAAATACTGGATTGCCAGAGTCTGGCTCCGTGGCCGGTTAAAGTAAGCGCCTTGACATTCAGAGCAAATTCCAGACGCAATTTGTTTTCTCTCTGATTTACTTCTTTCTTTGAGAATGGGACAGCAGACAAGGGCTTGGGCTCTGTGACACGTGCAGATTAAACAAAGCCCATTTATTATAGATTTAAAGTCGTTATTTCTGCTAAAATCAATAACGCTCATTTATATATAAATAGAATACAACTTATATTACGAATTATTATTATGGTGATTTTTGCTTCAAAACCAGGTGTGTAACATTCCAGCTCCCTTCGCTCAAAACAAAACAAAGACAGAGAAGGAAACTGGCATAAGGCAGGTCTGGTGTGGGCACATGATGGGGACAGCGGCTCCGCCTGGACGCCTCGTGTGACCCCCCCTGCTTCAGCCTGAGGATCCACACCCACGCCAGGGCGGGCGCCGGGCCTGACCACCAGGAAGACGGGTGAGCAAACCCTCACGTGTGGCCACCCGCTGTGGATGTGGCAGGGAAGTGGCCAGAGTCCGTGGGAGCGGCAAAAAGCCAACAGACGGCAGCCGGGACTGTGTGGGGGCGAGAGGGCCGGGCCCCCTCATCAGTGTTTGTGTGTGTGTGCTGCCCCGCGTCCTGTGTGCGCGTGTGGGCACAGCCTCTGCGCAAACCCCTGACTTAGGCTCCTGGCCTCACTTCTGACTCTGCAAAAATGCAAGCGTTCTGCATTTCTCCCTCCTTCTGTTTCCTTGACGTGGCTCATTTCACACCTTGCATTTCTGCCAGTTGGTGCTGATTTCTCACTTTCTTCCTATAGACTAGCTCTCCCCTGTGACTGACACGACCACCTCGCGTGGTGACATCCTCGGGTCTCAGAGCCCCTAAAGAAGGATTGGTGTCTGTCTCTGAATCTGCGCTTTTAGCCCATGCCGGGCGCCGTGAGTGAACACGTGTCCTCGGAATGAGAGCAGATGACCCTTTTGGTGGCTTTTGGATGGCACTCACACATGATTTGGTACATGTCGCGATTCTATGTTTCAAACACGTTTTCTAACTCCCGTGACCTCTCTCTTCCCAAACCGGGCATGCCACTTAGAGAAAAGCTGCCATTGTAGAACGCTGAACACATTTTTTTTTTTCTTTTAAACAGTGACTCACAATAGTTACCACTGGCTGCATGCTCTTGTGCTGTGATCGTTCCACATTGTAAAAACGGGACACGGCGTGGCTGCAGTAGGCTCACACAGAGCGCATGGCCCAGCCAGACTCTGTGCGAGCATCTGGCTCCAGAATTCATGCCTTCAGCCCCAAGATCACAGCTACGGAGTCCTAGAAGCAGAGAGCCCCAAAAGCATGGTCCTCCATTACTGGAGGACCAACTTCAGCCTCATTAGGCTTAATAGAATATTTTTATTTTTTTTTAAATTTTTTTAATGTTTATTTATTTTTGAGACAGAGAGAGACAGAGCATGAACGGGGGAGGGTCAGAGAGAGAGGGAGACACAGAATCGGAAACAAGCTCCAGGCTCTGAGCTGTCATCAACAGAGCCCAATGCGGGGCTCGAACTCACAGACAGTGAGGTCGTGACCTGAGCCGAAGTCGGATGCTTAACCAACTGAGCCACCCAGGCGCCCCAATAGAATATTTTTGATTTTTTTCATGTTTATTTATTTTTGACAGAGAGAGAGAGAGAGAGGGGCAGAGACAGAGCGTGAGTGGGGGAGGGGCAGAGGGAGAGGGAGACACAGAATCCGAAGCAGGCTCCAGGCTCCGGGCTGTCGGCACAGAGCCTGACGTGAGGCTCGAACCCACGAACCGTGAGGTCATGACCTGAACTGAAGTCGGATGCTTATCTGACTGAGGCACCGAGGCGCCCCTTGAATTTTGTTTTTATTGTAATGGTTTAGCGTTTTATGATACAGTGTCCCGAGGACCAGCTGTCTTTGTAAATCACAGACCTGGAGGCTGAAAAGCAGGAGTCAAGACGAAGAGGCACAGTTGGGGTTAGAAGCCAGCATCACGTGTCTTCTGCGCAGGACATACCAAGATCCCCGGGAACCCTGACTCCAGGATGTTCCCGTTCCTCCCTAGAAACCATCCTCGGGAATCCTACAGCATTTTGAAACCCCCTCGAAGCCCCTTGGTTACTTCCTCAAATCGACAGTTTCCACCTCGGGACGCTCGTTGTCAGGGGTAGAGGTTATTTTCACGCATAGGTTGGCAGCAGCTGAGGAAATGTTAAAAGGAAACCATAAAAAGTTTTCCAGAATAACATGAAGGTATTTGTTCCAGTTCTTTCCCTTCCAAACTACACCCACACTGCACAGTCTCGTGTGCACAGGCACCAGGGAGGCCCGTGTTGGAAGGCTGCGAGAGGGACGGTGACCACACAGCGGGGAGGAGGCTTCTAGAATTCCCACGTCTCCCTTCCTGCCCGCGGCCATTCTGGGCCCATGGGCCGCATCCCAGGCTGACAAGCCTCTTCTGCGACCTCAGATGCTTGTGACACAGGCTCACAGAACGAAATACGTGCTAACCAGGCCTCTGCTTTCAGCTGCGTAGATCCATATAAACAGACTCGAAAATGTAGCCAAAACAAACCACCCCTTTATGTTGGTCTCCTTAGGAAAGTGGTGAAGACTGATTCAGATTGCGTGAGGGAGAAATAGAAGGAAGCCATTTTATCTGTCCTGAACGTGTCCGCTCCACACGCAGAGGGCATCGCTCCACGCTATGAAGAGCTGCGTGGTGCTTCTGTGGTCGTGGATTCATTCTCCTGCTTGGGGCACAGTGTCCGCTGATTATTCGTCTGAGGGGCAGAAAGGTGGAACAGGCGTGAGCCCCAAGGCCGGAGGGTGATGCGGATCAAGGTCACCGGTCACCACAGGGGAGCAGGGATGGAGAGGAAGGGCCACCTGGGCGTCAGGGAGCCAGCGAGGCCGAGGCGAGGAGACCAGGCTCTGGGGGCGGCTCTCAGCGCAATCAGGGGTCACAGAGGCCACCGGGGAAATGACTTCGGTGGATTTGGGGCAGAAACTGACCGCAGCAAAGACAAGAAAGTGATAGCGTAAGTGACCATTTCAAACAATTTGTTGGATTTGTCCATACGGAGGACAGCGCCGGGGTCATCTGAGAAAAGTCGTGAGTTCTGGGGGGACGAGTCCATGTGTTTTTGGGAGGTGAGAAGATGCTGTGGGAAGGACACTCGGGCGGGGGGAGGCAAGAGAGGCCCCCGTGTGAACACAGCTCTGCCTGGGAGCTGGGTCCGGGGCGGGGGGCGGGGGTTGGGGGCGGAAGCTGGCCTGTGTTCCCTTTGCTCAACCCCTGCTCCTGCGTCCCCAGAGACGGGCTCCTGCGTCCCCTCAGACAGGCTCCCACATCCCCAGAGATGCTCCCATGTCCCCAAAGATGGGCTCCCAAATCCCGGGAGACGGGCTCCTGCGTCCCCTCAGACGCGCTTCCGTCCGAGTCCTGTCCCCAAGGAGACAGGCCCCCGTGTCCCTGTGGACGGTCCCTGCTCAGGGAGCGTCTACAAGGTGAGGATCAGGACTTAACGCATAGCGTTCACTCAACAGTGAGGATGTTCTCCACGGTAGGCTGAGAGTGGGGCCCTCACCTGGCGAGCGCTTGGTTAACAGACGTCGCATTGAACTGTCCCTCAGGAGGCCTGGACGCGGCCAGGGGGGCCCAGAGTGGCGGCTCTCCATTGTCTTCCAGGGAGTCTGGTGAGGGTGTCTCCTGGGGGCGGGGGCAGCTGATAGGGGAGGGGCTGCCCGGATGGGACCCCATTTTTCCATGTGAGATTTTGCCTCAAGTGAACATTTCAACTGTTTGAACAGTTCCGACAAGAAGAAAAAGATTTTTTTCCCTCTAGAATGGAAATCTTGGAACAGAAGTAGAAATACCCAGTACGTTTTTATTAGTGGAAGCAGAGTCGATACGCAGCAAGACGCACGGGTCTCAAATGCAACCTGGGCAAGTTCTGCCTGCCCTCTGTAAGCCACGCCCTCACTGGGATCTTGTGTCCTCACCCTTCCTCGTTCAAGCCCCTGTAGCGGCACTGAAGCGCTATCTCACCAAAGCTGTACCTCTCATTCCCACGGTGACCATTTGCGTATCTTCTCTTGCGACGGGACTTTTCAGCATTCCTATTT